TATTACAAATGAAACATCGTCTTCCAATTTAAAGGAAAAAAAAATAATAATAAGGAAAAACATAAAAGCCAAGTGAGGTCTCTTGGAGAAACAGAAGAGATTTTTTTTTCTCCTAGGTCATCCATTTTGGGTTCTTCTCTTTGTCATTGGTTCATAGCCTTTTTGGTACACACACGGGACAACTGCTGCACAGCCAAGAGGACAAGGAACTGCTTTTATAAGGCCCCCAACCTTTAAGGATCTCACATAACGTCTTGTGTCTGTGGGCTGTTAACTCAGCAGTCTCAGTGAAGGACACTTAACCCCAGGAGCTAAAATATGTTGCCTCTCTTTTGTCTGTGCTGACACAGCTGTAAGTAAAATTTCACAGAGGGAAAAAGAGATCCTGATCATGGAGATAGAGAAGGATCCATATCAAGATTTCTGAGATCTTTAAACTCACCGTCCTCCACCAGTCCTATTCCATGTGGGTCAACACCTACAGATAAGGTCCAACAGAGCTATTGCCATTCTGTTACTTTAATAGATAGCATTTTCTCCATGATCAACTCCTGAATTTATTCAGCTTTCTTCAAAGAGACTAAGTAATGGGAAAGGGAAAAAGACTTGAGCCCCTTCCTCTATTGGAGCCCATCCACCTCTAGTACCTCTGGATTCTATTCCCATCTGGAGACCGAAGTAGCTGTTGCCACATTTTTGCCAGTGGTCCCAGGCAAGGAGTCCCTTTATGTGCAGAACTGGCTCTTTCCTGTTTCATATGAATGGTACTTCCACTCAGAAACACTTTTTGCCACTGCAGAGAGATCCCAGATGGTCTGTGGGGAACGCTTAGATTCCCTCTCCATCTCCTTTGGAGTCCTCAGCACCCATATTGTGGGACATGGGACTTATTTAGCAGAGATGTCCTTAAACTGTGAAAAAGATTTCACTTACAATAAACTCAGACTAGAAACGTAAGAAAATCACCTCCTATTAGCTTGTCAATTGTGATAGCAGGCTGAACTGTTGGCAGCCACAATATGTTTGCATCTTGTATCCCAGACATGGGTTCAGTAGCCTTTTGAAAAAGAGATGGTTAAGAAGGACATCAGAGACTGAATGTCATGCAATGTACAGAATACCTGTAGTTACTTCTTATTTCAGTAGCAATGGATGCTACTGGTAACCCACTTATTGGACGAGGAAAGGCCTCTGAATGTTGTCTGCCGTGACATTAGCAAGGCCTTTGACACAGTTTCCCACATCATTCTTCTAGCAAAGCTGGCTGCGCACAGCTTGGATCAACACGTGCTTTGCTGGATAAAAAACTGGATGGTTTAGTGGTCATGGGGTTATAGGGCTGATGGCTGGACTTGATGAACTTGAACAACTTTTCCAGACTTAATGATTCTATGATTCTGTGATTCTACTGAACTAAGCCATGCAAAAATGCAAAGTACCTTACGTTAACGTTTAGAGGCAGCACCAATAGCAGAGCTGTTTAAAAGTTTCAGCTGAAAACATTATATGAAAATAGCTGGGGTTTCTCCAGAAAATTAGAGACATTATAATAGTATCAGATGTTTCTGAAGCAATGAAATATTAACCAAAGTTAATACAACCAACCCATAAGAATTTACAAGCATTCATAGATTACACTGCCATATGATAACCAGACTCCAAAATTTGCTGTTTTTTCCTGCTCTGGTCCTACAGATAAGCTTTAGGCCATGTGGGCTGAAACTCACTGGCAAAGTTGAAGGAACATAAAGAACTGAGTTCAGTTTCAAGACAAAAGTTACGCGAATGGGAGCAGAGCAAAAGAATTAAATTCTTAGGGACTACTGATTCGTGTGCAAACCTGCTCCTCTCAGATGTATTATCCCAAATGTTACACGAAATTTAAAATAATAATAATAATAAAAATCATAAGCCACATTTTTCAACATAAAAATATTCTGCGTAAAGAATGTGGTGTGATAGAAACTCCTTAGTGGTACAGGGACAGAGTGAGAGGAGAAGAAAGGGAAGGAAACAAAGGGCTGCCACACCAGAATCTCTTCCCTGATTTTCCTTACCCAAAATGTCCCCTGCCTCTGCATCTGAGGAACACTCAATCCTTTCTTAAGCCTACTGATATTTTTCCCCAGTACACTTGGGTATCTGCCTAAAATCTCTCTTGCTCCTGTGCCCCATCAGTGCCATCATTCTCAGGGATGTTTTTTTTTACCTATTTCTCTCATGGTATTTGTATATGAGAAGTAAGCTCCACACTCTGAAAGCCCAGTGAAGGGCCAGGAGTAATTATTGCATCCTATGGGTTAGAGTTGAGTTGCTTCAGAAAGGCACAGCTGCCCTTCAGCCTGACTTTAGCTGGTGCAAAGTGAATTATTCTTTGTTAGCTTCATGGATTTCAACCTTGAAAAACTTGAATTTATTTGGTCTTTATGCAAATTAAACTAGTGTCACTCCAGGTGAAAGGTTTCATGTGACAAGCCTTTTAAATTTGATCTATTTTCTTCAAATTGTCTGTTATCTTCTAGGGAACACGCAACTTGAATATTAAGTATGGGCTTACTGCAGCTATTAATCATTCAACTAAATAAAACCACTAGCAAACTGCGAATACTGTTGCGGTCTGAACCAGGTTTTGAGTCAAAGCCGCATTTTTGCAGGGCACAATTGCCCTGTTTATTAGGATTTTCTGACACAAATTATATATATTCAGGATAGCCTTAATTATTTTGGTGGGTCCGTCCCTGACTTTGGGCTGACTTGCTTCCACTGGGTATGTAACCGATTGATCAGCTCCTCTCGGAAGCACACACATGCACACACACACACACAGATTATGTGTTTGAAATACCATTTTACTGTAAAAGTTTTCAATGTGTGTGCATGGGGAAAAAGGGATATGTAAATGTACCCAGTCAGAAAAGAGAAAGAAAAAAAAAAGACTTTTAGTATGAGGTAGAGAGAGTCCGAAGCCTTTCCCGTATAGGGTCGACAAGGTGTGTGTAAGGGGCCAATTACACACCCGCGGACAAGGCGTTAGAGGTGAAAGGTTTGAATGGTGATGTGGTGCTCACATCCTCCTGGAGCCAGGGGGTGAGGCGAGGTGTGGCAGCGGTGGCAGATCCAGCAAGGGTGGCACCAGTGGCAGGGACAGCAGGGGCAGCTGCAGCAGCTGCTTCCTTTGTCCTTCTGGTACCTTTGGCAGCTGAGTTACCATGTGCCTGGGCACAGGGGATGGCTCTTTCTGGAGTTTGGGCACAGCACGGGTGGCAGGGCCACTCACCGCTATTGCCCTGAAGCACTTTCTTCTGATGATCTCAGGAGCGATGGAGAGGCAAGGAGTCTGACACTGTTTTCCTCACTGGACCCGGGTTTGGTGGCAAAGTCACAGCCTGTGGTTGCCTCTGCGAGAGCTGCTTTCAGCTCGGCTCCTTTTATTTGATTTTTCTCTTCCTCTCTTTTGTCTTCTTCTCTCTCCTTTCTACCAGCAGCTGCAGCAATTGGCACGGTAACGACCCACACACGACCATTCATTGCTTTGCAGGCTCAGGCCACCACTCCCAGGCCTATGTGCAGCTCAGGATGAAGTCCCAGCCATGGCCCCTGCCCTGCAGTGTTGCCACCGTTTCTCCTTTACTTTTATTTTATGTTTTTTTCTGTTCCATCTCTCTATTACAGTCAATTTCAGTGAGACACATGCTTTTTTGGAGGCCAGTTCTCCACAAATAGTCATAAATAAAAGAGCAGGTTGGCTACCTTCTACCATTTTCACTGGCTATAGAGTGAAAGAAAAACTAAGAGCTGTCACATAGTTTAGGGAAAAATCTGCCAGTTTTGTGTTACGGTAAAATACAAAAACATTATCATTATACAAGGTCTAGCTACTATTACTGAATGTTACTTTGCTTCCTCTGCTACACACAGCTTACCTGCTGCTGGGTTCTCATCTCTTAGGGATGTTTATTAAGTGTTTCACATAAAAAGTATATAGTGTTTTCTAACATATTGTCCTTTCTAACTCTCTCTACCTTCCTGCTTTCTTATTTAAGGTTTCTCCTTCATGCCTTTCAACCTTTACTATTCATAGTTGTCCTCAGGCAAACAAAATCTTTTTTGTGCTACTAGCCCTTCATCAGACAGAGTAGAAACCCCTTGTGGCTTTTTCATGCTGACCATTTATGAGCTCCTTGCTTCTATTTTTTCAGATGTGTAAGATAGATAGACTTCATTGCTATCTCTTCACCATAAAGGTAGAAAGGCATTAATGGAATGCAAAACTAGGAAGATCAATCTAGGATTGACTTTGCAATTGACAGCTCAAAAGTAGTTTTCCCTGGACCCTTGCAATTTCCTACCTGTATCAGTTTCCCATGATGGTGCCTGTCTTTTCCTAGACTGGTATGTGTAATCCCTTCTGAATCTGAGAGGAAAGGCATCTCTGTAACACAGTCGCTTGTATCATTCATTTTCCTAACTTTTTTCCTTTGTTGTTTATAATGAAAAAAGATTTGGTGAACTCAAGGACCAACAGTCCAACCCTTTTTGTGTTTCTCATAAATCAAATCCATTTTCTTATCTCTGCTTGCCTACTTATTCGTTTAACAATCTTTCATGTACTTAACAGTCTTCCTAGTCCACTGATTATGCTGTGTTAGCCCAGAAAAGAAGAGGACTTCAGTATTAGAGTGCTCACTTCATTTGATCACTCAGAGAATTACACTATAATGATGCTCTAATTACAGAGCTGTCGTGCTGTGTTAAATCCTTTCTACATGTGCTGTCAACTGTTTACATTGTTCTGCGTGGCCCAGACTACCCATTTCCAAATACACTGCAGTGATAGCTGACAGCTAACATTGACTAACATAATGTGCAGTATGGTTGTGGAATAGAAGTGAAAGGACTTTGAAGAAGGCCTTGGAATATGAAATATTTTTTCTATATGAAATATGAAATATTTTATCCTATAAATCAGTTCATTGTTGTTTTTCTGTGTTTTTCCACAGTGGTTATGTCTTTGATTATGATTACTACAGAGATGATTTCTACAATCGGTATGTGTGTTCATATTTTTTTACACCGTTCACTGTTTCTACTGTTTGTTTATTATGTAATCACATTCTTTGGTTAGATAGATCTGTTCTGATTTTACATATTATTAATTTAATTATTCCTATCAGAAGACTTAGACTGTATCAAAAACACTGAAAATTGCCACTACCAGATTAATGCGCATTAATGCTTTTTTGGTCTTACCTTTTTTTAAGAGTGTTTGGGGCATTTTCTTTGCTGAAAAGTTTAAATGGTAGTTTAATTGCTCAGTGTTTATTCCTACAGAGTTCTTCCAGATTTACTTTCACTGGACCATATAGGACCTGTAAAAATTTTCAGTATGACACTCATGCCTTTGTCTTTTCATCCATGCGTATGAAAAGATACAGAATGCCTCCTTAAAATGTGTCTTCCAAGAATTCTTGAAGTCTAAAAGGACCTAGAGTGAAGCAAAACTACAAGGTGAACATCATGTTTGTGTAGGAGGAAAAGATGTGTGGTAATTTATTAATTCAGATGTAGCAGAATCACCACAACACAGCGTTAAGATGGATGACCACAGATAACCAACTCATGATCCAACAGTGTTGTGTCTTTACATTACAGCAGCCTGGTTTAAGACAGGCCAAGTGAGTCAGAGGGGAAAAAACGTTGCTCCACCAACATTTTTTAATCTGAGAAAGCAACAGACAGTAGCAGGGGAGCAGTTTACACCCTGAAATTAAGTTATGGAGTACTATGCACCTTTCTGCTTAGGAACACCATAGGGAAAATGTAGAAACAATGCTTTTTAGGTTTTGGCTTTTCCTGAGATTGATTCAATTTCAGCTGCTAGGCTATTTTTGCACATAAATGTCCATGCTCACTTTGAACACAGCTAACACTAGTGGCTATAAATGTATGGAGTTGAAATCATCAATGCAATTTAATCCAGCTCATTCCAGCCTTGACAGTAAAAGCAGTTCTTGTCTTGCAGAATGTGGATTTTCACAGGCTTGCGTTTGCTTTCTACAAGGGTAATGCTCCAAATTCCATCAGTGGATTTGTGGTTTTTTAAACAGAATACTGCTTCTGATCTATGCCACATGAATATTGAAGTTACATGTCTTTTTTTTTTTTTTACCAAATTCTGTATGGGTAGCACAAATGAACAATTATAATGGTTACATTTCCACAGCAAGATAAATAATTATGGGACACTAAAGCTTGCTTCTGTGGAACTTGGTATCTATCTTGGTGATTGTCTTCTTACAAAAAACTGCTGACAGTGAAATGTGTCCACAAATGTATCCCATAGTATAATTTTCTGATTTAGAAATCTTTCAGGATTAAGACAGCAGAACATTTATGGTAGACAACCCAATTGTGAGACTTATCTCACAGGCTGGACATACCGGCCTCTTGACAATAAAAACTTTAGGAGGTTAGGGATCTCTGTTAGATCCAAATTAATGGAAGTACAAGTTGAAAAGCTCTATATGGTAGGCATGGAGAAGAAAATTCCCCGGACAGTTCAGTGTACTATAGGAATTATAAATTAGTAATTATTGTCATGATTCTTTGAATTTCTGAACTTCTGAACTTTCTGAACTGTTGTGTACCCCAAAACGTAGGTGGGGTTTTTTTGGTTGGTTGTTTTTTTTTCCCCAATATTCATTCATTTTCCAGCCTCTCTGAAGGGAGAACATGTATCTTATATTGACTAAAGCAGTGCTAGTGTCAGAAAAGAGTTACAAGCATGGTTAGTGCTGAAAAATAAAGTTTGTGCGAAGACAGATTGGCAAGATCAGGACTGCACAATTTAGAAGGGTAGGTTAAAGAAAAGGAATCATTAGAAACATATCAGTGTTTATTGGGACAAGAAATTATTTTAGAATTGAACATTTCTGTTCAACGATCATTTATCGTATTACAAGCACAAGGAAAGCAGGCAAGGTACTTCAAAACTGATAAAAGGAGGCATTTTTAAAAATCAGATCATTGAAATATGTACAACTTGGTGCAACAAAACACCAAGCCCAAAAGTTCCGCCTAATTAAAAAAAAAAAAAAAAAAAAAAAAAAGGAAGAATAGTAATATTAGATAACAGTCCTTTTATATGTTTTTAAAAATTAAGCATAATTTTACCTTTTATTACATTATCTAAATGTGGAATGTTGGAAAAAAATCAGCTTTGGAGGAACATAATGATCTGCTGTGTGGTAGCTCATAGTTCTGAAACATTTTTTCCAGTAGTGTCAGATGGGTGGTAGTGACCAACATACAGATCATCCAACATGATAAATAACAAGTGACAATGAACAATAATACTCTGTTAAAAGTGAATATAAATGTTTTAGTGTTTATCCTCATATAGAATTGTTTGATTATACTCGCAATGTCTGCAAACTGCTAATTCAGTAAGAATACTCAAGGTCATGTAGTTCAAGTTCAGTGAGGGTGACAGGACCTGTGTGACACCTTTTGTAGGCAGCTATGGAAAAGGAGGGAGCTGCTTATATGGATTATGGTACAGGTAACAGTAAGGGATTTAAGCATTAGTTTTTTACTTGCTAGAAAACAGGATAGCAGTTTGGTTCTGCTTCCTGTTGAACATGCTGTTAGACACTGTGATGAGGGAATTGTTGTTTCTTGTGTGTCTGATTTCAAATATTTATCTACCTGTCCATCTGGGTGACAGTAGTTAGAATTGTGAAAATTCAACAAGCAGTTATACATTTCATAATTACTAGTTGCAAGTATCATTTGAAAGAAATTCAAGAATATTTTGTAAGAATGTTTTATATCTGTTTCAGAACACTAGTTTATTTTGGTTGTAAAGTATCTTTTACTGACAGTAGTTGTAATTGTCTGAATATCTACCTGCTACAGTGGCTTTGGTTTGAACAGGGCTTTTTAAATTAAACATGCTTAGGTATTTTAGTGATTCTACACCAGTTCATTCTTCAGTAAAGAGAACATATGCTGGAACTTCTTTTCTATGCATTCAGAAGGACTCACAGGTCCCTCACTAAAAAGAGTGGGTATTTCTTATGGTGATAGTTGGCTTCAGAAAAGTTAATTTCTTTTTCTATCTTTAAGGATAGCAGATAGAAAGTTAGAATTTAAGCCATGCATGGAATAAGGAAGCTGAAATATCATCACAACAAAATTTACTGCTGTTAGTTGTGTGCAGTAAAATAATTCAAACCTGTGGAAAACAAGTTATGAATTTTCCTTACTGCAAATAACAGTCCTAGAACGCATCCCTCATTTAATTCTGAAAAAAATCTGAGCAGCACACTGGTCTGTGATTGAAATATGAATATGGCACTTGTTGTGCATAGGTCCTTGAAATCTAATTTGACTGTGATATAAAGTGATTATGGTTTCAAAGGGTAATTTTCTCAAAGATAACATAAAAATTTAGTTGACAGGGCTTCCATGACATGAAAGCAAAGAAGATTTTATGGAGTCCAACTGACTTAATCTTTTCTAGGTTGTTTGATTACCACAGCCGTGTCCCCCCACCACCCCGTGCAGTGATTCCACTGAAGCGTCCTCGTGTGGCTGTGACAACAACTCGCAGAGGCAAAGGGATTTTCTCCATGAAAGGAGCATCACGATCCACCTCAAGTGGGGCTTCTTCGTCAGGATCCAAATGTGAGTTTTTCATATCAGCTGGATATTACTGAAACAATGATCCTAGTCATTTCTTCAAACAGACACCTTCCACTATATAGCTCTGTTGCAGTAATTCCCTACCCTCAGCCTTTAGCTTGAAAATCTAGTTTGATTACCAAAGCTGCCATGCCTCTCCTGCAAGTCAAAGAGCACACTGATGTAACTTCTGAAGGAAATCCCTTCAACAACATTTGACCCACTCCCTTTACCTCAGAAGAAGCTTGTTTAAAATCTCCTATCATCCTAACTGTCTGTGTACCATGAGGTCTTTTTAATAGCTGATAAGAAAGCACAGCTAATAATGCTTTATGGACAGAGGCACGCTGATTTTGAGACTTGAGGGTTGTATGTGAGCTGCAGGGGAGTGGGCTGTGGGAGGGGCAAGGGAGGTTGGGTTGTATGGGGTTTTTTTGCCAGATTCCTTTGAAGGGGACAAACAGGCAAAGTGTCTTTGCCTGTTCTTAAGGGAGTGCAGAATAGGACTGGCAATTTGGGATTATTCAACCCATCTTTAGTGAGTTGGCCTTAGAAGATCTGATGAACAATAGACACTGCCCCCTCCATGTTCACCAAGCTCCCCACCCCATAGTATGTCCTGGGAACTTCATCTTCCTCTTCATGCATCTTTCAGCACCCACCTGTCTTCCCCTGCCCCTTATGTGGAGTGATACTGTCCTTGGAAGCGTCACTGGAAGAGGAAGAGAAAGATCAGGTAGGGAACAGATAATAGAAAGAATGAAGGGTCTTCAACAAGACGCTTGCAGTACGAGACTGACCAACAAAGCAGCATGCTGTCTTACACACAACCATGGAATATGTGAATCCACCAACAGTACATCTTATTGCAAGAGTGGTTAATTATGGCATCAACATAAGCCATTTATATAATCTGCTTGAATAACTTATCCAAATCTCACATACTAGAATATAGCAAAGATGGACCTCTAGTGACTCCCCCTAGGATCCATTATTGATCCTATTGTAAGCACTGATTGTATCAGAGACCTTGAAAGAAAATATTATAAATATGTATGTGACTGAAAGAATGGGAAGAGCTAGATAATCATGTACACTGAGGAACAGGGAGCTCAAGCCATTCCTTGGAAAGGATGATGTAGTGAGAAAGTGAGGCTCTGCTGATCAGGCAGTTGAATCACACAAAAGTCTCCAGTGAATGAATTAGCTAGAAAACCATTTCCAGTAATTGGAGGTTTGATACCTAGCACACAAGAAGACATCTAATTTTAGGTGTCATAGTATGGAGTTCACTCACACTCTTAAGAGGATGTCTAGGGGTAGAAACACTTCTTATGTTTTCTGAAATTTGAACATGAATCTAGATATTTTCATATGCATACTGAAAAAAATCAATTGTTCCTAACTATCTTTTGTCTTCCTTCAATATTTAAGTAATGAATTATGATTCCTTCTGTTACTTTAAAACAAAACATAGTACTCAAGATCTTCACTTCAGTAGACTTATAATTTAGACTATTTTGTTAGTTTTTTCCAGCTCTTGAGTTTTTGAGTTTTCACACAGTGAATCAAAGCTTTAGTAAGTATAACCACTTACAGATTCATCATTAGATCTCCTTTTTTCATCCCTTAATGTTGTTTTATCTGCATGAAAAGTTAATAGTATCAGTGCATTCAATTCATTAATTGTCCTAAATTGTGGTGTAATAAGAATGGGCTTTTTGGACTCTGCCTTGAGAAGACAAATTATTTTCAGATCAGGTTCTTTTATATACACATTTCTCATTGCCCATAAGAAGAATAACTGCAGAATAATCACCAAATTTGCTTTATCATTTATTCTGCATTTTAGAAAATGTTTTGTAATACCACATCAGGACTTAAATAATGCATAACATACATCAATGATTCATAACATAGATATAGTGTAGTTCATAGTAGTCCTGAGGAAAAGGACTTAGGGGGGTGTTGGTTGATGACAAGCTCAACATAAGCCAGCAACATGCGTTTGTAGCCCAGAAAGCCAACCGTGTCCTGCTCTGCGTGAAAGGAAGTGTGCCCAGCAGGTTGACGGAGGTGATTCTAACCCTCTACTCTGCTCTCATGAGACCTCTCATGGAGTGTTGTGTCCAGTTCAGTAGTCCTCAGCACAAGAAGGAAGTGGACCTGTTACACTGAGTCCAGAGGAATGCCATGAAGATGATCAGAGGGCTGGAGCACCTCTCCAACAAAGACAGACTGAGAGAGTTGGAGTTTTTCAGCCTGGAGAAGGGAAGGATCCAGGGAGACATTATTGCAACCATTCAGTACCTGGAGGGGCCCTACAGGAAAGCTGGGAGAGATGTTTAGAAGGGCATATAGTGATAGGACAAGAGGTAATGGCTTTAAACTGGAAAAGGAAAGATTTAGGCTAGGCATTGAGAAGAAATTCTCTACCATGAGGGTGGTGAGACACTGACATAGGTTGCCCAGAGAAGCTGTGGATTCCCCCTCCCTGGAAGCATTCAAGGCCCGGTTGGACGGGGCTTGAAGCAACCTGGTCTAGTGGGAGGTGTCTCTGCCCATGCAGGGAGGGTGGGACTAGATGATCTTTAGGTCCTTCCCAACCCAAACCATTCTATTATTTGATTCTATGGTCATAGGCTTCAATTCCAGTCTAAGTACCCACAGCCACTTGATAGACGATCTCCAAAAATACATAAAATTTAAAATGTTGCAAAACCTGTAAATTATTTAAAGGAAATGCAGCCAGGAGTGTGGTGATCCTAACAGACAGTGTTTTACCCTGGTGAAAGTATCCTTTAATGTATTCAGCTGTGATGTGAATTCTAAAGTTGTCAGGCTTAGAGCTCCAGGTGACAAGATCATCTTTGGGTCCAGATCTTTAACACTGAAGGAAGAGCTGTGAGATGCATCACTAAAAATGTGGGCTGACATTTTGACCCTTGTTGAGTTTCCATCCTCATTTCTTAACAATGGCAATTGGAACACAACTGAGAGACTATTTATCATTTTAAAATAAATTGTAGAAAATATTCTTTCTGCATGCAGCACAACCTTAAAGACAGTTAGGTACACAATATACAGACTTTCATGCTTCATTTCCCAATAGAATTGCTTCCCTTTTTGTCAAGTCCAACTAATCCACTATAAAGGTAGCAGCATGATTTTGTTGACTTGAACAGGAATGTAATCATCTTATTTTAAGACATTAGAGAAATAAACAAGCCATTCCCTTAGGACCTTCAAGTTGAAAAATAGAGAATATGTGCTTTGAGACCTCTTTTACCATTTTCTTGGAAAAGTTGGTTATAATGAATTGTGGGATGAAGCTGTTTAGTAGTTTGTTGCCCCTTACTCTACAGTGCTAATCTGAACCCTGTGAATTAATGCACTGTTGATTCTAATTGTAATTTGGTACTAGTTAAACAAAGCATCTCTTCAATAAGGAGAGACATAGTTTGTGGGAAGGAAGCTATTTTGAGTTTTAATGAAATTCAAGACCATAAAACATCTTAATCACAGGTTCAGAATTAACTATGTCACAATAATATTGTCTGTGCTGGAAAGATTTCACCTCCAAATAGCAAAACTCTCATGAGACCCCCTAATAGACTTTTCAGATTTAAGTAGAAATCTCATAGGCATAACTGTTCTCATAACTGTTCTTCTCAGTCAGTCTGAATTCAGAAAATGAACCCATATATGTAGCATTAAAGGTCAGAACACACGGGACCTCCCAGTGAAACTGCCAGCATTAGAAAAACTCACTTCTGAAAATCAACCATCAAAAGACAGAAGTTGGTTGTGGCACACAACAAAGATGTTAAAAAATATTATACCAAAAATGCCTTGCCTATTGATGCGTATATCAGAAAAAAAACAGTGCAGTAAATTTTCATCTACCAAAAAAAAGTGGCAGTATGTGTAGTAAGATTGCTTTCAAAACACAAAATTATTTAGGAGGATTTTATTTCTTTCCTGAATCTATACATTTTCAAGGATCAGTTGGCAATATTTTTTTTTCTTTATAACTTGGAAGACTAGAAAAAATAAATCAACCATTCCACATTATCAGAAGTAACTCACAAAATGAAGCATGCTGATGTAGAGACTACACATAGTTGTTTCGCATGTTAATCGTATGAAGCAGCAGATGCAACTTGCTATTTCAAAATGGGAAAAACTAACTTTTTCTGACAATATAGAAACTGAAGCTCTTGAGTAGAGCACACACTTTCATTTTACACACCTGAAAACAGGAGGAAAACACTGATCTTTTTTTTTTTAATACCCTGTATGCTTGAGATTAAGGAGTAGATACTTGAGATATTATAATGTGTTCTGAATTATGCCTTGAAATTAATTCATTTTGACTCATATAGTTTATGTTTAGCTTCATCAGCTAACCTATTTTTCAGTAAAATCTAAAGTAATACAATATGACAAAATATTTTATATTAAACATTAAGGGTTTAGATAAAAATACATTATATTTCCTTCCAGAGAAATCTGAATCATGCTTTGTGGATGAAGCAATTTGTAGTTATGCCAAAAAATGCTTCACAAATATAGATGTAATTCAACAGTAGCACTTTAATTTCTAAAAATGTGATTTACCTCCATTTTAAATCTCTTGCTTTGAGCTGGATGAAGATTATCACCTTTGGTGTTAGATGCATCAATGAAGGATGTTGCATTCTGGAAGGTCCTTGTATTCCTATCAGAGAGCTGGAAAGGGTCACAGAATCTAATTCCTTACTGTTGCGAGTAGCCACATCATCTAATCCTTTAAGTGTCATCTTAAAACTAGTTAGGGTATTTTTTGTCCCTGTTCTAATTTCCTGTTCAAATTTGTTTCTCATGTCTTCACATACATTTTTAGTCCCAACTCTGTCCTAACTTAAAAGTTTTACTTCCTTTTACCTACTTTTGTCGGGCAAGCAAACAAAACTCTTCCATCACACTACAGGCTTTCCATTCTTATGGTCAATATCATGACATTTCTCCACACATAAATGCTACAATTCAGTGGTTCAACCTGTACACATTATTCCATATGAGCTCTCACCACATCCTTGCACAATGGCATTATACTTTCCCATCCTTAGCAATCATCATTTGATAAATCCTAGCCATGCATTTTCCTATTGTCAACCTGAGATTACATCTACACCCCGGGATAATTCTGTTACTGTCTTTTTCCATTGATGAGTTTCAATGTTAGAAGTTCTGCTGTTAGTTAATCAAGGATAGGACTTTTTCACTGCAATTACATTTAATCTTTTTTCTAATGCAGAATTCCTTAAAATCACCTGACTCCTCCTTCCATTCCAGTTCACTCTGAATAGATGATACCTTCTGATTTCATGCCATCAGAAAACTTTACCTGTCTACTTAGTTTTTACAACAAAGTAGTTGAAGATATTTAGCCATTTTTGTGCAGATTCGGTGACCAAAGCTTGAGGAAACACTTCTGGGATATGGGAATTTTGCAAGGTAGCAATAAAGCTTCTCAGTCATTTATAGCACCTTTGTTATTTAATCCTCATAGTTGTGGATGTTCCCTCTGGTGCAGTCTTCTTCCCAAAGTCATTTTTCACTGACACCACAGGAAAGGTCCTGTGGAGAGAAAGTTCTACCTGAGTTGAACAGTAGCCCTACATATGTTCCTGTTTCCTTATGAAAGCCAGAAGTACAAATGTTTTCTGCTTTGCTTTTTAGACTGGGAACAAATACTATCAGGTCCTTGCAGTGTAGCTTTTGACCTTTTAGCCTTGGCAGTCTACTTTTTGACAGTCCAGGGAGCAGCTCTATCACAACAACTTGGCCACGTGGGATGTGCTGCCAGCTGGCTTCATAGCAGGTTGCTGCAAGCACTTAGCATTCCCCATTGGGGAGATTCACACCATTTCACCCTGGAATCTATTCTGCCATGCTACTCCAGCATGGACCTGCCACTGCCCTGGGGGAAGCAGTAACCTTCTAAATACACAGTTGTCAGAATCTTAATGTTTTATTACAGATCTGGAGGTTTGGTCAGTGACACGTTATTTCTCTAAGACCAGTTTAAGGCCTTGCTCTATATATATGCAGCATAATTTTGTGAAATGCTGCAAAACATACTAGAGTCTAGCACAAAGGTCACTTTTAAGTTTTGGTCTCCAAGTCCTAGTCTATGACAGTGTAAGATACACAATTTCTCAGTATGAGCACATGATTAAACAAGTTCACTATTGCATATGGCAACCTACTGCCTTTAGCAGTCTTGTTATAACTATAATGCACACAACACAAATTTTAAGGTTTCAACCTCGGTGAATGTGCTTCAAGTTTGCAATAAGGTTGATTTTGAAGCAAACACATTCTCAGTTACTACCACTGTAGTAGGCAGTAGCTTACTGGCACCCTTCATTAGGTTTGGACCATGTGATAAAAAAAATCTGTGAAACTCCATGATGAGATACATGTCCAAGAGTCAATGGATGGGATTGATATGGCAAGCTGCAGCTGCGAGACTCTTTGGACAGAAAGACAACATGTCCTCCATGGCAGAACATCCCTTTTCACAAGCTCACCAAGTGCACTCCCATTGCTCTGCATACACACACCAAGGTCATTACACATCCTCCTCCAGCAATGGATGGAGGAGTCCTGCTACTCAGTGCTCTTCCACTGCCAGTCCCTAACAGTTTAAGGTCATGATTCATTTCTTCCTACAAGAGTTGTAAGAGTGACAGCTGTGTTATCTACTTTTGACCTTTATAAATTACTTTATTTTTCCATGCTTGCACAGGGTTCCCATTTATCCTCTTTGCTTTTTGTCCTACCAGAGGCAGGACAAGTGGATTTATTTGGACTATCTTCTAAGCTATAAAAACATGTCCTGATTATACCATAATAATGAGGCCATTAATGAGTGCTGCAGTGCTGTTTCTTCTGAAGCCAAAACACCTCCAAAGCAGTTACTCCCTCTTACTTTAGACAATGGGAGTGCAGTAATGAACATAAATTAAGAGTAATGCTATACAGCAAAGATTTGGAAATTTCATCTCTTAATTCATAAGCTTTGCCTCCATGTCCCTGGGTGTGATCATAAAAAGAAATATTTTTTTAATGTTACCCCTAGCTGGAAAAAGTACAAGAAATTACAAGAACTGAAGGCTTTTGAAGCAAGAATACTTAACACCTATTGCAATTAATTTGTTGACTGGAGATGTTTTGCCTGAAATGCTTATTACAGAGCAGTGCACGTCACGTAGCCTCTTGCCATTATGACTTATAATCCTGTGATCTCCAAGGATTCAGCATTTTTAACTAAGAATGTTCATTTTTTAAGTTAAAACTCTAAAAATACTGTCAGAAATTAGAGAGTAGACTTTGTACTACAGAGGAAAGAAAAAAGAATGTGTTTTTTTCATGGGGGGCTGCATATATAGTTTATTTCATGTTTTGCATCTTTGCTTTCTTTCCACAGTGAAATCAGATGAGTTGCAAACAATCAAGAAGGAATTAACCCAAATCAAAACAAAAATTGACTCCTTGCTAGGGAGACTGGAAAAGATCGAAAAACAGCAAAAAGCTGAAGCAGGTGGGTGAAAGCAATTTGTAATAAAATGAATTAAATTAGGATCTAGTTATCAGTCAAGCAGACAGACCAGAGAGAGCAAAAGCCTTGCAGAAATTTTGCTACATAATAGAAGCCTGGAGCAAGGTAAATTGACTCTCAGGTAAAACTATTGGGAGGATAAAGTAATATTCTTCACAGGGCATGCAACATCATCTCAAGTATTGTTTTCTATGGTGTAACGGAGGGGAAAAAAAAAAAAAAAAGCAAAAGTTTTTTACTAGATGATCTGTAAAAAAAAAAGCATCACTAAAAATTGGCTGAGCAGAATTAAGTTTGAAGTTGTTGATTTTGGGGATGTTTGTGCTATCTACACTAAGAATTATTAAATAGTCTATATCAGGAATTATTGCCTGGGCAATAGGTAAGAGTCACAAGTTGCAGCAAGGGAAATTCCTGTCTGACATAGGGGAAAAAGGTGCAACTAAGTAGTATAAGAGGTTGCTCAGAGAAATGGTAGTAGCTCCATCCTTGGAGACATTCAAAACTCATTGGGCCAAGGCCCTACGGATGTGGACCAAACTTTAAGTTTGGTCCCTGCTTTGAAGAGGGCTTGGACTGGAAGAGTCCAGGTATCCCTTTCAACCTAAGCTGTTCTGTGAACATGTGGCATCTTTGATAAACTGGTCGCACCCCTAGTTCAGCTTTTCTCTGGCTTGATATATCATGTTTTAAGGCAAACCGTGGGAATGCCAAAAGCAAATACTACTTCTTAAGTTAATAGAGATCTTTATTTCTATCATTGCAGTGATCATTTTGTTAGCTCACCTGGCATCACTTCAAAGTCATGCTGAGCAGTCATGAGAGATTCATAAAGTTGTATTTTCACCACAGCAGACATAGAAAACAATCTCAAGTCTTACTACGCTTTGTAGTATTTCACTGTCTAATTCCTTATAAACCACATGGTATATCTCTGTACAGGAGCCGTGCACTAGTGAGCCAATTTTCATCAGACCCAGAGGAGAAATGCAAGCCTTATCTCATGAAAAAAATCTCAATGTTGCTTTTTTTCCCTCCATTCTCTGATGAAAATTTTTTATGTATTCTGTATGAAAGATACCTTGCTTCAGAATCCACAGCTGCCTGAGTGTCTGGGCACTCAGATTTGTTGCCCTTGCTTAACTTGAATCATTTATGTGAAGCCAAAAAGACCCAACAGGACACATAAAGACAGCTCCATTGAGACTGTATAAAACATTGGTGGGAATTAGCAGTTGAGGTTCATGAACCTGACACAGGCAAAACAGATTTATATTTGGATCCCTCCAGTTCAAAGTGCCTGCTTTATTTTCTCATGTATTTTGGACATATCTCTCTGACCCCAGAAGTTTCCTGCTGGCATTCAGAAATAACTCTAACTAATGCCTTCCTAGGGTGAAACACTACTGTAAAATATTTGGTGGTTAACAATTAAATAAAAATAATAATAATAATTTAAAAAGACAAAACCAGCTACCTTTTACCTACCTTTCATTTACAATAATTTTCTAAGTTCACAGACAAGTACCAATCCCTCAGCCATTTTAGTTAACCCCACAAAAGAAGCTGAGTGTTTTTTTCCAAGTCAACGGTGAACCAATAGTCCAGAGATTATTCCTTTTAGGAGAACTGTACACAATATGCATTCATTATATTCTGCTTTGTACCTTATGCAAGTTAGATATGATTGCAATGCATTCCACTGAATCACCTGTGTACTGAAATGCTCTGAGATGGCACATCACTACTTCAGGGAGCTTTTATATAAAATACATTACTATGCAAAACAACCTGCTTGTCATTGTACTTTGATACCCAATTTTCACTTTTGCTAAAGGACTGTAGTGAACTCATTTAAATAGAAATCAGCTGAAAGAGGAAAACACTGATTTGTATTGAATCATACTGTTATGCCTTTTGAAGAAAAGCAATGAATAATTTCCTCAGAGATTGGTTTCAAATTGTTGATGTTTTAAAATATCAGGTGCAAAACCCATCCCCCATATTCTTTGCATCTCATCAGAAGATGTGAGAAGAAAAAATACTGCAAAGATACCAGTAAACCTGGATCCCAACTTAAATCCCCTGAGCTGATGAAGCCTGGGTGATTAGTCTGCAGCTGATTGCTTCCTCAGCTAAAAGATTTGTATAAGATAAAGCTACATCAGTAGCTGAACTACTTCATTTACTGTGTCAGGCGTGATATGATCTTGTTCCTTCTCAATGGTTTAGCAATATTATTTCTTACTTTCCTCTGCCAGAAGGTGTGGTCTCACTAAAACCGGGATCAGACAGGGGATCTATGTCTCATTTACACAAAATAAAAATCAAGCCATCATCTTGCCCTTTTGGGTTTTATTTTAAGTTTGCATCACTTTCTTGAAGAATATTTAATTATTAATCTTAAAAGTTATGCATTTGGAAAAATGTGACAAACAGACCAGCTGGACAAGCTCAGCACATACGTTGATTGCTGCTCTAGGACTGTGTGAAAACTCTCTTTACAATAACAGGTGATGTTCTGCCTTTTACTACTATTGACCTCTGATCATGCCATTAAGGGGGATACAGATGATAAGAGAATTTCCTGTACATTGGGAAACTGCAGGAATAGTCCATCCTTTTGTAAAAATCTGAATTAGGAATCCAAGGATAAGAAGCTCTTCTGAAGTGAAAAATTTGTTGGACAATAATATTCTCTGTGTAATATCAGAGATGGGTGCTGAAAGGTAGGATATTAAGTTTAGCTTCTCAGAAGAGCCCAAAAGAGTTAGATGCTGAGCTGGTATTTTAGACTCCTTTGAAAAAAAACAGTCTACATTCTCATTCAATGAAGTGATCTAATTTTTTAGCAGCTGTATCCTAAGAGTGTTCCCATTTAAATGTATTAAATCCATCATTTCAGGAACAAAGCAGAAGGTGGTGGGGCAGGACACAGTAGGCATAGCTGATTCAATCCACATTTTTATTACACAGTAAGGCAAGTAACACAAAGGCTTAAAACTAGCATAGTATTTTATAGAGGACCTTAGCAATAGATGATGAGGCTCCATGGGCTGAATCTACTACTAACATGCGTGACTACGGTACTGTCAAAGCAGTTATCTAACATGATTTTTTATTCTTTAAGTCCAAGAATCTTTCTGGAGAAATTACATGGCTATGGGAGAAAAGCTTATTTGTTACACGTCTTCAGTAAATGAATTTGAAAATGAGGGATTAGAGACTGACAAAGACTGAAGAGATTAAACTAAGTTGCAAAATAAATGTGCAGGGGTAGAAGGAAAAATAAATGTCTTGGTTTAAGACTGTGATGCAGAAAAGTATGAGCATCTTTGAATATTATATTCAGCTGGTAATGATTTATACTAAAATAATAATATATTCATAGAGCTGAAAAAATATAGAGCTTCACAGGCAATCTGCAGATTCATTGGCTGTCCAACAAGACAAGTGACACATTACTAGTGTTATAGAACAGTCAATCTAACAAAGAAAGAAATTATTTTGTTCTAGATATTTGATCTTTGATGGATAATGTTAGTCTCGGACTGAAAACACACTGGTATTCCAGCTACAGGCAACCAATTCTCTGGCCCACATTCACCTTGAGGACACATAGCTTTTCATCCAAACTCCTGATGTGCAAAGGATTAAGACTGATTCCTCCACACTCCCCTCTGGACAATCTGTCTGTCATTCCTCTCTCAGTCCTCCTCGGGATTTCTGCTGTCTGGATGAAATTCCTCAGCATACTCAGAAGCCTTGCAAATATCTGAGCCAAGACCAACCAGAACAGATCCTCTGGGGCTCCATGGAAATGTTCTTTCTTTCCATCACTTTGCAGAAATTATAGGAATCCCTCCGGTTACCTTGCCACATTATTCCAATGGGCAGCAACTCTTACTTTTCTCCATGAAAAATATGTTCAGCTGTCTAGAAGGATTTCTTGATTATCTGGTTTTGAGATACATTCAAAGCAAATTTATGCAAATCATTGTTCATTTATTGGCATTTAACAGCCTTGTGCTTCTCAGAGCATAGAGATTTACAGACTTCTCACTGGCAGATAAATATATAGAATCATAGAATGGTTAAGGTTGGAAGGGACCTTAAAGATCATCAGGTTCCAACTTCCCTGCCATGAGCAGGGACACCTCACACTTTCTGGCCTTAAACACCTCCAGGGAAGGGGCATCCACAGCCTCCCCGGGCTACCTATTCCAGCACCTTACTACCTTCATGGTGAAGAATTTCTTCCTAATGGCTAACCTAAATCTCCCTTCTTTCAGTTTAAAACCATTACGCCTTGTCCTATCACTGCCCTCTCTGTTGAAAAGCCCCTCCTCAACTTTCCTGTAGGTCCCCTTCAGGTACTGGAAGGCTGCTATGAGGTCTCCCTAGAACCTTCTCTTCTCCAGGCTGAATAGCTGAATAGGCTGAATATGACTGCCAATTGCATTCCCAAGGCAAAGCAAAGTCCAGAAAATCAAAAAGCTGGATCCACTGGTAAATCAAGCTTTCATCCACTGCATGGGTTAGATTAGCACTTTGGAACTATGGTTGATTTATGCATTAATTTTTGAAAACAAGGGGTTTGTTCGTATTTGCTGGATAGGTATTAACATGCTGTTTTTTACAAAGCCAGCACATCTGGAGATGGGAAGCTTAGGTTTCTTCCTCAGAGCACTTTTCTTTGCCACCAGTAGGGAAGGTCACTGAATCTCTATAGAGTATGTTTTCCTTACAGAAGCACAAAAGAAACAAATGGAAGATAATGCTGATTTGATTCAAGAGGAATGCATATCAGAGAATGCAGATAACTCTACAGAAGAGCCAATTGAAGGAGGGCCAGATGCAGATGGGGATGGAGAAGAGATGACTGATGGGATAGAGGAGGATTTTGATGAGGATGGCAGCAATGAGCTGGTAAGGAATAACCAAGCCATATCTGTCTATGTAGTTGCTACAAGTAAACACAAACAATCTGGGTTAAAAAAACAAGCTCTCAGCAGCACTGTGATGTTCTGTTACTAGTGCCTAGTCCCAGCTTCTTCATACACTGTAGTATCAAGCAAGCATAAGACACTCTGAGGATAAACCAGATAAATGCATTTTACTACACTTGGTGATTTTAGAAAGGAAATTAAACACACTTCAAATTGGTTGACATTAATTATTATACTTTTACTGAAATGTAGATGAGGAAGGAAAACATAGTGTGCCTTTGTTGTTTGGGGGTTTTTGTTGTTGTTGTTGTTTGGTTATTTTTTTGTTTGGTTTGGGTTTTTTTTGGGGGGGGTTGTTGTTTGTTTGGGGGGTTTTTTGTTTAGTTTTTTAACTGGAGCTTTTCAAAATTAAGTAAGATTCTAGAATGGAGAACTTTCTCACTAGTAAACACGTGGTCCTCCATAGTCCCTAGTCCCCTGATTCCAAGTGAATCTTCTTCAGGCTGCATTGACAGCTACAGACATTTTTGACGGAAGATTTTTTCCTGGAGAAATGTTTGGCTATGACATATTGGGGTTGTCAGACTGAGTCTGCACCTTTCATGAAATGTCCATCATGTTGTTAATCTTCTAAGCTCTTCCAGAGGAATATTACAAATTATGTTGAGTCAGATTTATACTTTTTTATTCATTCCTAGTAAGAATGGATTGGTCACACTGTTTTAGACTCTATAATACTCTCCCTCTCTTCCTGGCTTTCATATTCTTCTGTTTTGAGCAGAAATCACTTCTGTTGCTCTGTGTCACTATCCCTGCTTGCTTTTTAACACACATTTAATCATATCTGCACTGTAAAAACCGTTCAGTTAAGCCAACAGAAGTTAATCAGCAATGGGCAAAGTTGAACCAACACCAAGTCTGGAGTAACAGGGCATGTACTGCTTGCTGCAGACACAATTTAAACCTATTGCTAATTTGAGGCCCTCTTAAATCTATTAATCCTGAACAGCATCATGCACAGGGGAAGATACTACAGCCTAAAACACCTTATGAAGAATAGATTACATTATCACCTTTTCTCAAAAGAACAGGCTCTCCTGTACAGATATGAGGAACATCTGTAAGAAGCTGCAACTCCAAATTTGTAAGAAATTGAAACCTTGTAATGAATACGTAGTTGTAAATATAATATCACACCATGGCTAATACCTGATCCGCCATTAGCAGTAGGGGTGATCACAGATAAACAAGACTGGTGGGTTTTGCACTAATTGTCAGACTCCCTGCTGCAGACCAGTAAGTGACAAAATTAAAGCACAGTATATTCACCTGTGATTATTCAGTGCTGTCATTTCACCCTGTGGCTATGACATATTACCATAAGTCTACACTATATAATAAAGCATGATGAATAAATTTTTTATCTAGCAAAGGCCTAAGCAGGAAAGTTTCCAAAAAGCAGGCAGCAGAGGAAAAGGAGACTTCATTAACAGTGAAAGTCTGGAATTGGCACAGACACATTTGCACACCACTGCTTCCAAGTTAAAAAGCCTTTTCAAGGCTAATGTTAGGGACCTAGCTGAAGTGCAGTGTGTTGCAGAAACAGCTCCAAAGGCAGCTCAGAGGTCTGAGGCACACATCTAAGGCATGGGGGAACCAGCTGCCATTACTCTGCATGTCATTACTGAGCCTCTTGAGTGCTGTGAGGAGGTGGCTCACTGCACATAGTGGTGTGCTCTGCATTGTGCCCTAGTGCTCATAAATGGTATCCCCAGGCCCAACATGGTGGTAACAAGGAAAGGTCAAAAAATAAAGCTTATGTGCGTTGTCCTGGTCAGGTGCAGCCAGTCCCAATGCCAGGGCAGTGGAGCCAGTCAGCCTCATGCCTTCCACCTTCCAGAATGCTGAGAGTATTATAGACTTTAAAGCTCTGAATCAAGATTGACAGTTTTGTTCCCTGCTATGTAATGATGATGATGAAAAAAAATCTTTTATTTCATCATTAATGACAACAGAGCAAACAGAAAAACATTTGAAATGGGCATAGCTAGTGTTCTGAAGACAGCTCAGCAGCAAAAATCAGTTGTCAGCCCAGTAGTCTGAAAAATAGTATTAGAGGGAGAGAAAAACATGACTTAAATTTAGATCTTAACCTTTTTGCAGTGCTTCATATTTAGCTGTAAATTTCCTGTCATTTGCCAGTAACTGCTTCAGGACACATTTTGCTGAACACAATATTGTTTTCTCTTTTTTGTTTCCCTTGTGACCAGCCCTAAGGCTGTCAGTAAAAAGATGTGTTCAACAAGAACAGACCTGCTGCCAGTGTCCAGATGATGCCAGAACAGAGCCTCTGAATCTGTGTATGTGGGTCTGCATTTTTGGATTTAGGACCCAAAAATATATTTCTTTTGTTATTTCTAATTCTAGCTTGCAAAGGAAGTGATTATGCAGGATGTATATTGTGGGTTTAGGTGGTAGGATCAGTTCTTTAAATTCACATACTGTCTATTTGGAGGAACAGGTTACTGCACACTAGCTGAGGGATGGAAGCTGTCCTGATGCCTGCTTTCAGCCTAGACCAACTGCAAGGAAATGCAAAAGAGTTTAGCCTGCAGTCTGAGTTAAGTCAGGCATGGATTTAAGGAGGCTTTAGCCCCTTCCTTTGCCTGCCTGGCTGCACACACAAAAACACATCACATTAAACAGCTGCACACCTTCTTCATCCACTGTTTAGGCCAGGATATTGTTCATCCCTGCACTGTCATTTTCTGTGGGCTAAAGACACGCCTGCAAACAGTTGTTATTACTCAGCTGAAGTGTGAAAAAGTTCTACGCCAGAATAACTTGATTGCCCATCTGAACTCTAATTCAAGACATGCTGCATTTGAAGTACCTACTAGAGCCATCAAACATAACCCATTGGGAAAGTTTCTTTTGTACCAACTGTTTGCCCACAGTTGTGTCTTAATGTCTCCAGTGCTGCAGAAACTCCAGCATGAGGATGTTTTTCGTAACAATTCCCACAGACTTTTGCTGCATTGACACACTGAAAAGTTGTTTAAATGCTGTTTTCAGATCTATGATGCAGCTATGTACCAATATGCTAGGAGAGACTGACAGACTTGCTCACAGAAGATGGTCAGATGCTTCTTACCCACCTACTCTCACAAGTTGGCTTTCCACTGATCCTTGTTCAAGAGCATGGGATAATATGTTGTAGCTACATGTAGATATATAAAATAGTAAATCCTGAGCTTACTCAACAACTCATGTCACTTAAGATAGGATTAAACCTTCAGGTCTATTTGCTCCTTTTAGATAAAAAAAAAACAAGTGGCTGTTTATCAAAGATTTTACTGGACCCATGAGTCAGTCTTTCTTGCATTGAACAGTTTCTAGTTGCAGTGAATTAAAAATCGTTGTGTTCCCTGCTAGTGAGCAACATCCATTCTTACTGTTTTCAATCTACTGTCCCTCAGCCACACTGTGAAGAAAGCAACATGCTTATGCAAATTTCCATCTTGTCTTAAAGAAAAGAAGTTCCTAAGAAGAAAGATCTTCATGTTTACCAAATTCATCTCATACACAAATCACAAACATGTCTCAAATAATTGGATTCTCAAGCAGTTTCCAGTGCCTGCCACAGCTTTAAATTGTAAGGAGTGGAAGGAAAGCCAATAACCTCCTCTTATTCCTGTGGCTTCACAGCAGAAAGAAAAAAAAAAATTGCCTTTGCAGCTCAGTCTTTGAGAAGCACATTTTGATATTTGAGAAGGCTCAGCACCTCTAAAATAAGCTCCTTATCCTTACTAGAGGCAGCAATAGCAGCATTTGGCAAAGCTGAGAGCATGAAGGAAAAACATTTTTTGAGTTAGTGTGCACAGTAGTTCCCTTACCTTGCTCGTTTTACAGTTGGACAGCCCAGTGCAGGCCTAGAGCATGTCATGTAATTTCTCTGAACTTGTTTCAAATGGCACTGATTGATCATTGAAGAAGCACTCGCTCAAAATGAACTATAAACTTATCAGCATAATCCCCTTGTAAGTAATGAAGGTGCCGTCCAACTAATTAGCTGAACTTTTGAAGTACTGTAGATTTGGAAAAAAAAATCAACTAATATTTAATAATATACCTACAAACTAATTAATTGGAATTAGTTACACACAAGCATTCATACCTATATTGCATTGCCTGAGAAGAATAGTTTCTATCAAGCTGTCAGCCTTTCATACTAAATTACTGTAATAATAATATCACAGCAATGCTTCAGTAGTTAAGAATTCTGTAGAGCAACATGTTTTCTGGTAGAGCATGTTATCCCAGTTATTTGAAATACAATATATTTACAGTTCGTAATTCGGATCAGACTGTGGTTTGTGCTTGGCTGGAATTTGAAGGATATATTCACAGTTACAACCTTGTGATTTTATACAGCTGTAGTTATGCTAAAACTAATGAAGCCACACAAGCATTAGATGGGAGTTCCACAACGAGTCACCTTTCGTGAGGTGTCTTGAGAGGTATTTTTATTAAATTATATCAGAAAGAAGAGGTACAGAGACTATTCAAGGCTCTGTTCTGGTTACATTGTGGTTATTTCAAAAACAATTATGTTCTCTTTCTATTAAGTATATTTCAGCTATATTTACCTCTCAAGGATATATTCTTTCTAGCTTGTGTCCTTTTCACCACCTATGCACTACATGTTTTCAGTCTATCATCAGTATTTGTTTCTGATGCGGGATAGAAAATTATGTTTCATACATAAATACCAAAAGCTGCCACATACAAAAAACTCAGGATAATGTTCTTGCTGCACAGAGTTTCATTATGCAAAAACAAAAATATTGTGATATAATAATAGCTATATTTTATGTTAGAACTGAAGCAAATACCATGTAAATCAATAGAACCAACTAATACTTTGGCTAAAGCTCATAAAAAACAAAACAAAACATTTCCTTCTCCCATAAGTAGTTA